CCCGCAAGTGGGGCTGGGCTGGGGGTGACTCACAGAGCTCGCAGATTTGGGCCGGTCTGGCATGCTTCACTCCGCCTCTGCGTAGTCCTTTGCTGGCTTTCCTGACCTTTGTTGTCTGGGCTGATCGCTCGTTCCCGCAGCTGGGCTTGGGCGCTCTCAGGAGTCCTCCTCTGTGTCGGCCCCAAAAACTCGAACCTGCTGCCGCTTGTTTGTCGATGTAGTATCGTTGTTGAAAGAATTATTCGCCTTTTGTTGCTCTTGGAAATGCAATCAATACTCTGGTATCATGCAATCAGTACTCTGGTATCACAGCGCACAGCTCTCAGGATCGCGCTGTCTCCTGTCACGGCTGCTCCAGACCCGTCGCCATCTTAGAACCTAAATGCCTAAAATTTGTAACTTTTAAAGACAGGCACAAACAGTGTTTGTTGTTTTTTATAAGTAATATTGACCGTGGCTTACAACTATATTTAATTTCTTATCCTATCTTTTGATGTGTGTTCCTTAAATAAGCAGTTGGCATATAATAATGAAATTTATTTATTTTTTTCCTTTTTTTTTTTTGTCTTTTTCCGTGTCCGGCAACGGATCGCAACCCTCAGTGTCGCCCCTGTACTGGAACGGGACCAGCAACGGGATCGCAACCCTCGGTGTTGCTCCCGCGCCTCGCTCAGCCAGTGAGCGGGAACCGGTCTGTATGTGGGATCCGAACCCTCGGTGGGAGCGCTGCCGCGCTTCCCAAGCGGCGCCCTATAGCAGTGCGCCACCGGGCCGGCCCATAATAATGAAATTTAAAACATTCAAAATAAATGCATTCAGTAATTTTGGTAATGAAAAATAAGAATCTAATTGAGAAATGGCATTTAAGTGAATTTATACACTGAATTCCTTGAATAATTCTGAAGCCTATGAACAGTTATGCTCAAACTTAATTTTAAGGGAAAAAGAGGCTGACTGCTCCTCTAAAATCCTTGGGAGTTTTTCTTTTTATTTGGTAGTTCATCAATATAGAACTTACTGCTTATTAGTAATGATTGCTAGTAGGTTGCTGGTAAAAGCCCTGTGATGCTTTCTGGCATTCACTGGCCACATGTCTATCATATTTGCTTCCCCCACCCACATGTCTCTTCTTGTATGCAGGAAAGCTTTTCTTTTAATGGTTATCTTTATACTGCTAATGCTTTATCATATAATTGAATTACTCCCTCACCTCTCTTTCTCTCTGTGTGTGTGGGTGTGTTATTATTGAAAACAACTATCTGCTTCTTCCCATAATCCTCCCTCCCACCCAGCATTTGATTTCAAGTGATATCCTTTTACTGCAAATTAATAAGGCCTACAGCAACCTCATTGTATGCTTTAAGTACTTCTTATCTCCCCTCATTTTCTTTTTTTTTTTTTTCCTTTTTGTCTTTTTTCGTGTCCGGCAACGGATCGCAACCCTCAGTGTTGCGCCCGTACCAGACCGGGACCGGCAACGGGATCGCAACCCTCGGTGTTGCACCCACACCTCGCTCAGCCAGTGAGCGGGAACCGGTCTGTATGCGGGATCCGAACCCTCGGCGGGAGCGCTACCGCACTCCCAAGCAGCGCACTATAGTAGTGCGCCACCAGGCCAGCCCTCCCCTCATTTTCTGATGGTTGTAGTAATCTATGTTAGATCTAACCATTTCTTATAATACTGACTCATTTATGATTATCTGCAGGTAAGAATATATTTGAAGGTAATCACCAGTTCATTTGTCAATGTCTACCCCCCACCCCTTGTTTTGATTGTCTGACGCTCATTTTCTAGCACAGTCATGAAGGGCTAATGGAAACAATGGTCCTTGAATTTCTGCATGTTCCTTACAATTTGTGGCCTTTATATTTAAAGGTCAGTTTAGCTGGATATGAAATTGCAGGTCACATTTTTCTTTCTCTAATATGTTAAATGTGTTCTTATTATATGGCATAAAGCATTGCTGTCAAAAGTGTGACAACAATATGAGGTTTTTAAGTGACTTGGTTCTTTTTTCTTAGTGCCCAAACGATTTTTTTTTCTTCAAAACCCAATATTTTTACCATCATGTCTCAGGTCTTCCCAGTTAATTTTCTCAGACATTCTGTGTACCCTTTCAGAAAATACTTTCAAGTTGTCTTCTATCTCAGGAAACTTTTCTTATTATTTTCTATTATTTTGATTTTCTTCTTTAAGGACTGCTATTGTATGCATCTTGTATCTTCTTTGTTTATCTTCCATATCTGTCATTTTCTCTTGAATCCTTTCTGTCTTTTTGATTTTCTTATTTTCTGAAAGTTTTTCTCTTTCCCATCTTTTATTTTGCAAAGGCACTATTCATTCGGTTAATTTACTTTTGTGTTTCTTCTTATTTAGTCTAGATTCTTGAAATGATTATTTCCTTTTATGTCTTTTTTCCTGAGTTTTGTCACTTATTTTCAAATCTACTTTTTCTTTAATCTTCTCATTTCTAAATTTATGTAACATTTATTTGTAGTTTTCATTTATAACTCCTATTATTTTTTAAAATTTCTTTTAGCTTGTTATGAAATATTAACTTACAGCTTTCATCAGTTTTGTTGGCATTATTTTCTGGAATGTTTTTATTATCAGCAGGGCTGTCATTCTACTCCTTTGCCTCTTTTTTCTTGTAAAACCCTTTAATGGGATTTGATCATGATTCTTTTTTGTTCCTCTTTAAGTTAAATAAACTAAGTAAAATAAATGCAATATTTCGTCATTCTTTTAGGAAGGAGATATAAGCCAGGACAGTTTCTCATGATTCTAGATATTCTCCTTCCATTCTTTTTGCAAAGTGATAAAAATATGGCCTCATACCATCTGCGATCTGCCACCTCTGCTTCCTTCCTCTACTTTTATCTGGACCTTCTCTTTCCTTTGCCTTTTATTGTCCCTCTCCTGCTTAATGTGGCTTTTACTTCCAGCGCTTTCTCCTCATTGTGGGGCTTTACCCTGAATGGGAGCTTTAGTTTTTGTGTGTTTTTTTGTGTTTTCAGTCTTTATAGGTCTCAGTCTTCTCCAGCACTGTTAGACTGTCCTCTTGTACTCGCCCAATGAATTAGATTCTACAGAACCCTCAAATTTTGGCCACATCTCCAGTGAATACATGTTGTTCATTTTGGGGTTCTTCTATTGTCAGGGCCATCAAGAAACCCTGTTACTCTCTTTCTTTTCTTTCACACCAATGCTGAGATCACATAGCTCTTTGTTCTCATTTGCTTTTATTTAGGGGTTCATGAAAATGCCTTGTCATTTAGTTTTTATGTAGGTATTGTTCATAGGTCTTTTGTTTTGCCAGTCTAGTTGCTTTATTTTTATAGGATAATTTGAGGAGCCTACACACTGCCATTTCTCACTATCTTTTAAAGGAGCTTTTTTTTTTTTTTTTTTTTTTTTTGATAACAGTTGCCAGATATGAATTAGGAAGAAAATAATAAAGATAATCAGTGATACTTTGCATTGCAAAGATTTATATTTTAAGAACTGAGCTAGAAATTATAGCAGTCTTATGGATAACATTAAGTCTTGGTTGTCTGGGATTCGAGGTGGATGTGGGTCCTACAAATAATAAAGATAATCAGTGATACTTTGCATTGCAAAGATTTATATTTTAAGAACTGAGCTAGAAATTATAGCAGTCTTATGGATAACATTAAGTCTTGGTTGTCTGGGATTCGAGGTGGATGTGGGTCCTACATCCTATCCATGGTACTTACAAGAAGCAGACTTATTTGGAAAGGGAAACTGGCTCTACTGGGAGCAAATTTAGAGGAAGTGCTGGGGACTTAAAGCTGTTTCATATGAGAAAAGATTAAAGGAAATAAAGGCTTAGGTTAGCGAAGAGAAGATGTGGGGATTGTGCCATTAAATGTGTTTTGTTTGTTTCTGGATCAAAGAGATTTTAAAGAGATTTGGGCTTAAAGTTAATAGTGATTTTCTAATAATCAGCCAACTCTAAAGAGGGGTGTTTTTTTCCTGAAAGGTAATGATTCATCTCTCACAGGAGGTATTAAAAAATAAGCAGTTCACCAGTTTGAATTCATCCTTTAGAAAAATAGTTGCACTGCATAGTTTTAATGACCTGTCCACCTTGAGTTTTTACCGTCAACACCCATGAGCTTCCTGTAACTTAAATGAATGGAAAATATTATATTTTGGCTGCACACTTTATTTCCATATTGTTGTATTTTTAAATATAGCACCTATTTAAAAAAAAAGTAGACAAAGTGCCGATAATTGAGAACTAATGGCATATCTCAGGAAGCTCTTGATGGCAAAAACTGCCTTTGTCTATTTTATCTTCCACAGATATTGTAAGTCCTGGCACATGTAGGTGCTCAATATGTATTTATTGAATTGAACTGGCAAGAAAGACTTTCTGTTGATTAGAGATTCCTCTTTGGTAGAACTAATCTTTCTTTATAAGTTAATAATACAGGGAACTGATTTCTGTAGTTTTGCAAATCCATTTTCATGTTTTTAAAAACAATGCCAGCTTAAAATACTTCAAAGGCTGAAATGATATAAAGCATATGTCAGTCATTCTGTGGGCTGTGCCCACCCTCTAGTTTCTAATGAATAAAAATGACTGCTTCATTCTCTTGAGTTCTAGGAAAACACTATTAAAGAAAAAAATATGCCTTCCTTGAAATCATCTCCCAGTTGGGAATGTATAGCCAAATGAAAAGTGATTGAAGCAAAAGTTTAAGTTCCATGTTCTCAGGTGCCTTAACTGTATTGACCCAGGTATTCTGGTTCTAGAGACTATATATCCTTAACAACTACAGTACACCGCCCCTCATAGAGGATTCTCCAGGATGCCAAACAGCCAGTAAATTGTTTCAAGACTTTGTGAGATGGAATTTAGGATGTGAAAATGGTTCTTGTTTGTTGTAAAATAAATGAAATGTTTTATACATTTTTGTAGAGTTAAACATATTGAAGTATGTTTTTCCTAGCATGCAATGATGCTGCCTGTTTTAACTCATCATATCCGCTACCACCAATGCCTGATGCATCTGGACAAGCTGATAGGATATACTTTCCAAGATCGTTGTTTGTTACAGGTAAGAATTACTCTCCTGGAAACTCACATAAGAACAAGATAGGAATATAGTTCATCTTGCAGGTTACAAGTGGTACATTGGGTTCTCTATTCTGGGAGGTAACATAGATTTTTAGAAACATAACTCTTCATTACTCTTCCCTGGTTGTCTCTACCACCTTCACATCCTTCATCTCACATGTATTTGAGGCCATCCCTAAAGAAATAGGCTAAAGCTAGTTTGCCTGTCAAACCTGAGCATCCTCTTTCAGCTTTTCCTTCTTTATGGCTCTTCTTTCCAGGTGCCGAGTTATTCTAATTCTTCTCTGAAAGACGTGGATTTTTAGGTTTGTTTTCAGAAGAGGGCTTGCACCAGAGCTTTGAAAATTTGATACTGGAGGAAATAAGATGCAAAAATCAGGGCTTAAAATTCAACTGGATAGACAGCTCCTTTTCCCATTTTCATTTGGGATGATAAAAAGATGGCATTTCTATTCTGAGTTTTTAAGACTTAACTTATTTCATTGAAATTTTAGCTGGCCATGACTCATCCAAGTCATCATTTAAATTTTGGAATGAATCCTGACCATGCCAGGAATTCATTGTCTAACTGTGGAATTCGGCAGCCCAAATATGGAGACAGAAAAGTTCATCACATGCACATGAGGAAAAAAGGTATGCTTGGATGACTTTTAAGATTCTACTCGTATTTTGGCCGGGATTCCCTACTGTAAATTATATCCCCCCAGGAATTGATCCCTGGGTAACTCTTTTCACCTCTCATATTCTAGTGCTTATTGACCCATATGTTATTAACATTCATCTTGAGCAGAGCATTATAATAAGATGGATTAATTTTTTCAGAAAAATTTTTCTCCTATCAAGTATTTTAAATGATTGTTTATCAATCTTTTAGACATACAGTATTAAACTAGTCAAATTAGATGAGATCATTTTCTTTCTGCATACAGTCATATAGTGGTCCTAGAATCCTTATAAAAGTATTTACTTGTATATTTATTTTATTTATTTTTAATAGGAATTAACACCTTAATAAATATTATGTCACGCCTTGGCCAAGATGACCCAACTCCCTCAAGGTAAAGTAGATTTTTTTAAAAAACTGCTTTACTGAGATATAATTCACATGCCATACAACTTTCCCATTTAAAGTGTACACTTCAGTGGTTTGTACTATGTTCACAAAATTGTGCAAGTATGACCAGTACCTAATTTTAGAACATTTTCATCACCTCAAAGAGAAACACCGTACCCATTAGTCACTCCCTGTTTTTTCTTATCCTGCCCAACCCTAGGTAACAGCCAGTTTACTTTCAATTTCTATGGATTTGCCTGTTCTGAATATTTCATATATAAGGTGTTGTACACTATGTGATCCTTTGTGACTGACTACTTTTACTTAACATAATGTTTTCATGATTTGTCCATGTTGTATATACTATATATCAGTACTTCATTTCTTTTTATTGCCAAGTTGTATTTCGTGATGTGTGTATACCATATTTTATTTATCCATTCATAAGTTTATGTGCATTTGGATTGCTTCCACCTTTTGGCTGTTATGAATAATGTCACTATGACATTATTTTGTGTGGATGTATGTTTTGATTTATCTTGGGTATATATCTAGAAGTGGAATTGTTGGGTCGTAGCATAAATTTTTTTAACGTTTTAAGGAACTGCCAAACTGTTTTCCAAAGTGACTGCACCATTTTATGTTCCCAGCAGCAGTATATCTGGGTTCCAATTTTTTCATATTTTTGCTAACAGTTGTTATTATCTGTCTCTTTGATTCTAGTCATCCTAGTGGGTATGAAATATTATCTCATTGTGGTTTTGATTTGTATTCCCCTGATGGCTCATGATATTGAGCATCTTTTCATATGCTTATTGGCCATTTGTATATTTTCTTGGGGAAATATCTATTCAGATCCTTTTCCTATTTTTAATTATGTTATTTTTTATTACCATGTTATAATAGTTTATTTATATATCCCACATACAAGTCCCTTAACAGATATATGATTTGCAAAAATTTTTTCTCATTCTTTGAATTGTCTTTTCACTCTCTTGATGTCTTTTGAAGCACAAAAGTTTTGATGAAGTTCAATTTATATATTATTTCTTTTGTTGCTTGTGCTTTTGGTGTTCTATCTAAGAAATCATTGACGAAATTAAAGTCACAAAGATTGATGTCTATGTTTCTTTTAAGAGTTTTATAGTTTTATCTCTTACATTTAGGTCTGTGATCCATTTGGAGTTAATTTTTATATATGGTGTGACATAGGGGGTGTCCAGTGGTTGTCTTTTGCTTTTGTATATCCAATTGTCCCAGCACCATTTGTTGAAAAGCCTTTTCTTTCCTCACTGAATCACCTTGGCAACCTTTTCTTAAATCACTTGACGATAATATGTAAGGGTTTGTTTTTGGACTCTTAGTTCTGTTCCATTGATCTGTATGTCTGTCCTTATGCCAGTACCACAGTCTTGATTACAGTAGCTTTGTAGTAAGTTTTGAAATAGAGAAATGTGAGTTCTCCACCTTTGTTTTATTTTTTCAAGATGGTTTTGTCTATACTGGGTCCATTGCATTTCCATGTGAATGTCTGGATCAGCTTGTCAATTTCTGCAAAGAAGTCAACTGGGATTTTGATAGGGATTGTGTTGATTCTGTAAATCAATTTGGGAATGGTTACCATCTTAATCTAAGTCTTCTGACCCATGAACATGGGATGTCTTTCCATTTATCTTCTTCTTTAATTTAAGTGTCTTATAGTTTTCAGAGTATAAGTTCTGCTCATCTTTTGCTAAATTTATTCCTAAGTACAGCAAACCCTTGAACAACACAGGTTTGAACCACATGGATCCACTTATACATGGATTTTTCAATAAATATATTGGAAAAACTTTAACCAAACAGTTAAGTAGCTTACCTAAAAGTAGGCTATTGGTATTTAAGTATTTAAGTAAAGATGCTCCCCCCTCAGGGATTAGCACACACAAAGATTTTTGACTGGGAGGGGTGGTCAGTGCCCATTGCCCCCTCATTGAACTATAGTCAACTGCATTTTATTAGTTTGATGCCATTATAAATGGAATTGTTTTCTTAATTTCATTTTCAGGTTTTTCATTGCAAGTGTATAGAAATACAATTGATTTTTGTATATTGAGCTTGTATCCTGCAGTCTTGATGATCTTATTAATTAGCTCTAATAGATTTTTAGTGGATTCCTTAGGATTTCCTATACATATGATTGTATTATCTGTAAATAGAGATAGTTTTACTTCTTCCTTTCCAATCTGATGCTTTTAATTTCATTTTCTTAATTTAGTTGCCCTGGCTAGAGCCTCTAGTACAATACTGACTAGAAGTATTGAGAACAGATCTTTGTCTTCTTCCTAAACTTAGGAGAAAGCATCCAGTCTTTCACTGTTGAGAATGATGATAGCTGTGAGGTGTTTTTTGTTTTTAAATCAGTGAAAAGTTTCCTTCTATTCCTAGTTTGCTTAGTGTTTTTATCATGAAAGGATGTTGAATTTTATTACATGCTTTTTCTGCATCTCAATATTGAGATAATTATGTGGGTTTTTCCCTTTTGTCCTATTCATATAGTATGTTATCTTAATTGATTTGGGGTGTTAAACCAACCTTGCTTTCCGAGGATAAATCCCACTGATCGTGGTGTATAATCCTTTTTATGTGCTGCTGAATTCATTTTGGTAGTATTTTACTGAGGGTTTTTGTATCATCAACATTCATAAGAGATATTGTAGTTTTCCTTTCCTGTGATGTTTTTGTCTGGTTTCATAATTTTGGTAATACTGGCCTCATAATGAGTTGCAAGGTTTTATAGGTTATCTTCTCTTATTTTATTTCTTGATTTTATAAGATACTTTCCTATGTTAATATTCTCAGTTTTGTGTTGCCTTGAGCTGCCACAGAACCTGGAGCTGAAGTACTCCCGGTCTGTATAAACTCAACACCTTATGAAAAATGAATGGCAGGAAATGTCTACTGGCTGATGAGGCTCTGATGTTGTTTGCAGGAGGAATATCTTTGTGTGTGTGAAGTATAGCAGGTTATATTTTGAAAGCCAGTAGAGGAAATTGAGGGCAGCTTTCTTTTTAAAATGAGTTGAAAAGTTGAATAGCTGTGCTTATTACCCTGTGGGTACAGACGTAGGTGGACTAAGGGTGGGTAGAGTAGGGTTAGAAGTTGAGGCAGTTGCTTAAGCTGGTAACTGGCCTCCACAGCTAAGAGAATTGCCAGCAGTGGCTGGCACAGACTCCTTTTCTGCCTTTTCCCTCATATATCACTTTGCTCTTTAAATTAGCTTGCCTTGAGTTGCTCTCTTTTGAGGTTATCATAAACCAGACTATCTTTCCTCTTCAATGAAGAGTTAGAAAGGCAGGATGGAGCTTTATAACTCTGGATTGAAGATGACCATATGCCTCACTATAGTGTTCTGTGGGAGTCTAAGATCAGAAAAGAATTAATCTAAAGAGCTTTTAATCACACCCTCAGGGGTAGTGTGACCATGGTTTCATTTTACTCTGTGATGTTGTATAGTCTCCAGATGACCAGCTCTGTATTTTAATAAGTAGAGCCCTGTGTACCCCACAGCCCCTCAAGCAAGGCTGAGCACACCATACACACTTACTTTTCAATGATGAAAACATGGGTTTAAATCATCTTTGTCTCATCTATCCACACCACCGTATGTCTTTTGATAGCATTGTTCATACCTCATGATTTATGTTTTCTTTTGCTTTGTTACAAAGAAGTGGCTTTCTTACTGTGGCAAAAGAAATGATGTCTGAGAAACTGTGTTGTTTCTGCATTTACTATTTTGAAAATGATACCATTAACGGAGAGTAAACAAATAATCTCTCTTGTCCTTTGACTTCTGGCCTTTGCTGCTTGTTTTGAGAGCCTCTTGTGAATACGATCTTTTTGCTGATGCAGAGCTGACCCCAAGTGTGTGTTCAGAAAGAGCCTCCTTGCTCAGCTGCCTGGGTCAGTTTGTAGGTATTTTAGGGAAATAAAAGGCAATAAGACAAAGCCCCCATTCACTAGGAGGGTGACTACCTGGGGAGGGGTGAGAGTGCTATAAACATTAATCACTTATTATAGGGGAGACTCTGATAAGTGCCTCAATGAAGGTCAAAAACAAAACGTGCACACAGAACTGCTGTGGGGCTCAGGATAGATCTGGTGGTTGTTTAGGGATTATAGGTCAGTTTTATACTGTGCACTTGAATAGTTGAGTTGACTTGAAACGACTTGCCTTCTCTTGTTTGTTTCTTATTTTGCTGTTGTGAAATGGGATGTAGTAGTCTCTGCTCCTTGGAAGTGTTTATATGCCTTTGAAGTAAACAGCCTAAAATTCCAGGTATCAGTGGTTACATCTCCCTAAGTAAGCTTGCTCAGAATGTTAGACTTGCAAAAGGAGAAAGAGAGAGAGCTAGTAAGTTATTTGGGGAATCTGTTTCTGGCACTGATAAAAGTGGGAAGGTGGAGGAGCAAGGGAGACGGGGGAGAGGGCTGAGAGGAGGCAGAGGCTGTTAGATGGATTCTTCTTCTCGACTCCTTTAAAACCACTCCCTGTCCCCACTCCTGCAGCGCCACTAGTGACCACACTCTGCCAGCTCTGTGTTTAGATTGCCTCCATAGTCGGTCAGCTTGCTGTCTCTGGTGCGTGCTATTCTAGTTCTTAGCTGTAACCTGTTTGAAAGCTTCAACTTACTGAATACTATCAGAACCTCCCCACCTGCAGTCCCAGCTCTCATTACCTGTCCCCAGCAACTTTTCCCAGCACATCTTTCTTTTCCTGGAGGCTCTCTCCATGCCAATAAGACTGAATACTTACTGGGCTGTCCAGCATATCCCTCTTCCCTGTTTTCTCTGGAATGCCATCGTAACCTTGTAACATCCTGCTCAAATCCTGCCGGTATTTGTTTTATGGTACATGTTCCTGTTTTCCCATATATTACAGTTGTGCTGTGGGGCTATTTTTCTTTACTGGACAATAAGGATTTTGAAGGTCTATGGTCCTACTCTTTTTTTTTTTTTCTCTTC